GGCTGACAAGAGTGAACCAGCTTCTGTCACTCTCCTGCAAAAGTTTCTCTTAAACATATAAACATACAGACATTGGAGATATCAAGGGTTCAGTTCCAGACCACTGCAGTAAATCAAATATTGCAATAAAGCAAGTCACACAAATTTCTTGTTTCCTAGTTCATACAAAAGTTATGTTTATTCTAGTCTTAAAGTATACAATAGCTTTATGGCTAAAAATACAATGCATATACTTTAATTAATAAATTATTTGCCAAGATTTGCTAACATTTTATCGCTAAAAAATGCTGACCATCATCTGGCGTTCAGAGGGCACATATTTTGCTGGTGGAAGGTCTTGCTTTGAAGCTGATGGCTACTGACTGCTTGGTGAAGGTTGGGGTGGCAGGGCAATTTTTGAAAATAAGACAAAGAAGTTTGCCTCACACTCTTTCACAAAAGATTATTCTGTAGCCTATGATGCTATTTGGTAGCATTTTACTCATAGAAATTCATTCAAAACTGGAGTCAATTCTCTCAAATCCTGTTATTGCTTCATCACTAAGTTTATATAATATTCTAAATCCTTTGTTGTCATTTCAACAATGTTCATAGCATTTTCACCAGGAGTTAATTTCCCTTCAAGAAACCACTTTCTCTGTTCAGCCATAAGACGGAATCCCTCATTCATTCATTTATCATGTGATTGTAGCAATCCAGTCACTTCTTCCAGCTCTACTATTTCTTGCTATTTCTACTCTATCTGTAGTGACTTTCTCCACTTAAGTCTTGAACTCCTCAAAGTAGTCCATGAGGGCTGGAATAAATTTCTTCAAATCCCTGTTAATATTGATATTTTCACCTCCACCCATACATCATAAATGTTCTTAATGGCATCTAGAACAACAAATCTTCTCCAGAAGGTTTTCTTTTTTGTTTTTTGTTGTTTTCTTTTGAGACAGAGTCTTGCTCTGTCACCCAAGCTGGAATGCAATGGCACACTCATAGCTCACTGAAGCCTCAACTTCCTAGGCTCAAGTGATCCTCCCACCTCAGCCTCCTGAGTAGCCAGGCTACAGGCACATGCCACCACATCTGACTTTTTTGGCTTTTTGTAGAAATTACATCTCACTGTGTTACCCAGGTTGGTCTCAAACTCCTGGCCTCAAGTGATCCTTCCACCTCAGACATCCAAAGTGTTGGGATTATAAGCCTAAGCCACCACACTCGGCCTGACATCTTCAATTTTCTTTGTTAGATCCATCAGGAATCACTCTCTATGGCAGCTATAGCCTTATGAAATTTATTTCTTAAATAAAAGTCGAAATTGCTCCTTGGTCCATGGACTACATAAAGGATGTGGTATTAGGAGGAATGAGAACAACATCAATCTCCTTGTATATCTCAATCAGAACTCTTAGGTGACTAGGCACATTGTTAATCAGCAATAATATTTTGAAAGGAGTCTTTTTTTTCTGATCAGTAAGTCTCAACAGTGAGTTTAAAATGTCCAGTAAACCTGCTGTTAACAAATAACCTGCTGTTATCATCCAGGCTTTGTTGTTCCACTATTTATAGTGGACATAGTAGAATTAGCATAATTCTTGAGGACTCTAGGATTTTTCAGAACGGTAAATGAGCATCGGCTTCATTAACTGCATTCACCCCTAACAAGAGAGTTAGCCTGTCCTTAGAAGCTATGAAGACAGGTAAACCTCTCACTAGCTATGAAAGTCCTAGATGGCATCTTCTTCCAATACTGTATAAGGCTGTGCTGTCTACATGGAAAACCTATTGTTTGTGACCATTACCTTTGATAGCCAATTCTCTTTTGAGAGTGATGCAGCCATCTTCACCAATAATATTAGCTAAATCGTCTGGACAATGCCCTGTAGCAGCTCAACCAGCACTTGCTGCTTCATCTTGCATTGCTATGTTATAAAGATGGCTTCTTTGCTTAAACTTCATGAACCAACCTCTGCTAGTTTCCAACTCTTCTTCTGCAGCTTCCTCACCTCTTTCAGTCTTCAAAGAATGAAGAGTTTGGGCCTTGCTCTGGATTAGACTTTGGCTTAAGGGAATGTTGTGGCTGATTAGATCTTCTATCCCTTCAAGGCTGTTTTGGGTTTTTTTTTAATTTTTAATTTTAAGTATGTGGGGTGCAATTTGGGGTTAGGTATACAAATGGTCATTATGCACGTACCTTTGTTGATGAGGTATGTATGCCACCCTCCCTCCCCTGGTAGTTTCCCACTACTTCCAATCCCGCCCCTGCCCTTCTTTTTTTCTTTTTTAAGTCAGGGTCTCATTTTGTCAACCAGACTGAAGTGCAGTGGCAAGATCATGGCTCACTGCAGCCTCAACTTCCCAGGTTCAAGCGATCCTTCTGCCTCAGTCTCTCAAGTAGTTAGGACTACAGGCATGTGCCATCAGATCCAGCTAATATTTTTATTTTTTGTAGAAAAAGGTTTTGCTATGTTGCCCAGGCTGGTCTCAAACTCCTGAGCTCATGCGATCCTCCTGTCTCGGCCTCTCAAAGTACTAGGATTACAGGCGTTAGCCACCACGTCTAACTTGCTTTCTTATCATTAATGTGTTAAATGGAGTAGCACTTTTAATTTCCTCCGAGAACTTTTCTTTTGTATCTATAACTTGGCTAACTGTTTGGTATAAGAGGCCTAGTTTTTGGCCTATCTTGGCTTTCCAATGTCCTCCTCACTAAACTTAGTCACATCTAGCTTCTGATTTAAAATGAAAAACATGCCATTCCTCTTTTCATGTGAACACTTGGAGCCCACTGTAGGGTTATTAATTGGCCTAATTTCAATATTGTTGTGTGTCAGGGAATAAGGAGGCTGGAGAAGAGGGAGAGAAGCAGGGAAGCCAGTGGAGCACATACAACATTTCTCAATTACATTTGCCATCTTATATATGCATGGTAAGTGGCACCCCAAAACAATTACCATAGTAACATTAAAGATCACAGATCACCAAAACAGACATAATAGTAATGAACAAGTTTGAAATATTGAGAGAAGTACCAAAATGTTACACAGACACACAAAGTGATCATGTGCTGTTGGAAAAATAGCACCAAGAGACTTGCTCCACGCAGAGTTGCCACAAACCTGATTTGCTAAATAAAAAATTAAAAAGCACTATCTGTGAGACACAAAAAAGCAAAGAGCAATAAAATGAGGTACGCCTGTATGTTCCTACGTTAGAGGACACTAGGTGGTGAATGTTATTTGAACTTTTTTTTTTTGAGTTGAAGTCTCACTCTGTCACTCAGGCTGGAGTGCAGTGGCATGCTCATGGCCACCACAGCCTCGACCTGCTGGACTCAGGCGATCCTTCTGCTTCAGTCTTCTAAGTAGCTGAAACTATAGGCGTGTGCCAGCATGCCCAGCTAAAGTTTTTGATTTATTGTAGAGATGAGGTCTCGCCAAGTTGCTCCGGCTGTTCTCGAACCCATGAGCTCAGGCAATCCTCTCACCTCGACCTCCCAAAGTGCTGGAATTATAGGCATGAGCCACCATACCCGGCCCTGTAATTTGAACATTTATGGCAGGGCCTCCATATCCACATCCATGCAGTCAACCAGCCAGAAATCTAAAATATTCAGAATAAAAACAATGCAATAAAAAAATAATACAAAAGACAATACAGCACAACTATCAACATGGCATTTACACTGTATCAGGTATAAGTAATCCAGAGATGATTTAAAGTATATGGAAGGATGTGCATAGTTATATACATATATATCATCTTATTTCAGAGACACGAGCATCCTCAGATTTGGTGTCTGCAGAGGTTGCTGGAACCAATTCCTTACAGATACCAAGGGAAGGACTACTGTATTTTAATGAGCCTGTATTTGTAACACTTTGGTTTGCTCAGGCATCAACTCTCACTGTGCAGTTTCACCAATACAGTTTAGGATTGACCCACATGTATATTTACCACTTCTTTTTATTACATTCATTATTTTCGGTTATTTTTAACTTTCTTCAAAAATTACTCTCAATCAAATTGCAACAATAACAGCCACCATCAGGTTCTTTTGCTAAGCGCTTCACCTGTAGCATCAAATTTAATCTTCACAGATGAGAAAACTGCAGAGGCTAAGAGAGGAGGCCATGATGGAGAGCCTAACAAGCAAAGGCAGGGTCTGAACCCAGGTCTGCGTCTCTAGGGCCCTATTCCTAACCACACCAGGTTACCAACTTGTCCCCACCAGCAAATCAGGTTTCCAGCACTTTGGAACACAATAGCATCCCAAAACTTCGTACAACTCTTTCGGGGAATACTCATTACGAAAGGATGATTCCCAGCACTCTTAGGGCCCCATTTCTCCCTCTACTTTCCCCCAAATAGCAGAAACATTTAACTTACGGAAAGCACTGATGAGATTTATGAACACTACCTAGGAAGGGTGGCAGGTGGCACTGTTAAAAAACACTGCTCCTCTCTTAGAGAAAGCCAAAGTGTGACCTTTCACCCCAGGTCGTCACAGTGAGCCTGTCCCCTTTTAACGCACTTTTCCTCTAACTCTTCAGTAGGCAGTCCAGATTCTCCCAACCTTATGCTGCATTTTGGCAATGCTGGAAGCCGGAGTTCCCTCAATGGCCAAAAGAGCCAAAGAAAAGTAACAAAAAATGGCCAAAAAAAGTCTTCCCCAAAGACTTAGTTGTTTAAGCGTCCTATACTAACATATTACTAGTGTCGCCTTTTATTTGTGAAGATTCGCTGTCTGCTACCTCACTGTACTGGGCGGCGGCACGGGAAGACACAGGGCGCGGAATCCCCACTACGACTCATACCGACGGGAAACACTCCCTCGCTCCCCGCGTGCTCACGGGCGGGGCTCGAGGAGAGGGCGCGGGTCCACGCGGGCCGAGGCCGGGCTCTGCCGCCGGGTGCTCCACGGACGCCCGGGCCCCAGCCCCGGCCGACCACGCGGGCCGGGAGCAGGAAGGCGGGGCGCGTGGCAGGCGTCCCGGGGACCCCGAACTCACGTTTGTACTCGGCCATCAGCCTCTTGAGCGCCGTCCCAGCCATGGCCCGGCGACAGCTGCGCTCAGCTGCCTCCCCTCATCTGCGCCTCCCGCCCAGACGCCGGTAGCTGCTTCCGGGTAGCCGCAGTGGGCACGAAGCCCTTCCGGGGCGTGACACGCAAGTGCGTCTGCCGTGGCGCGCCCGTGAGACTGAGCGGGTGGGCGGTGGCGGGGCTCCGCCCCTGGGCTGGGCCACGGCCTTCGGTCTCTCCGTGGCGTTTGTGCGAGTCCTGACAGCTCCGGAGTTCTCGGGGTCTCGGTCTTGTAGAGGTTTCCGGAACAGTGGGCGCTCGCGCTAGTGCGAGTCCGCTGCCTTGTTTTGTGCCAGCCGCGTGCCGAGAGCATGACCCGTGACCCGGAGAG